AATTCCAGTTAAGCATCTATCTACTGTCACTCTGTCCATTTTTCAGGTTTTTTCCTTCACTCACCTTTCTGTTTCAAGTTCCCTGCCCTTTCATCCCAAGTACTACTGGCATCTCCAATGCAAGCAGAGAGCAGAGAGATGCACCCAGAACCCCTTTGGCTATTACTGTTCATATTAAGAAGCCACTTTCAACCTCTCCTACTGTTACAGTGATTCTTCCTTACTGTTCTTTTTAAGCCTTGAATAATTTATCAGATTTCCATAACCACAGTACACAAGAAACCAGGAAAGTTCCACAGTGTGTGTAGCATTACCTATCTACTAAATATCTACTGCTAATATGTCTGATTAGACCTTGTACTTTAAGAAATACTGAAGAACAGAAAATCCATGGACAACTACTTATTACTCTTTCAAGATCTCAGATCTGTAATGCAGAATCGAGATCCTCCACTCTCCATCCTCTTGCATTTGTGTAGACTGAAACATATGTAGAATTGGAGCAAAAAACCGGAATGACTCTGAATATTCTTCCTTACAGGAAAATTGATTTCCCGCTCCATTTGCTTCTCCTTCCTTCTTTCAACTCATAACAGAAGTGGACTTTTGGGTGCTAAACTATTAATCCAAGCTGAGTGTGAAGAAATCAGTCCATGATCCTTTTAACCACTTGAGGGCAGCAAACTCTTACTCTCTAAAAATCATCTGATACCACGAAAATACACCCAGGTTTCAAGTGATGTTACAGCACTCAAGAAATACCATTGTTTAAAGGCAGCAAAAATACAACTGGTTAAGCTGCTGTTTAATACTCTACCTAATATATCTTACCCTTGATTAATTCAATCCAGACACCATTCTCAGGGATAATTTGAAAAGAATCACAAAAGAAGTCCAAAGAAGATAAATTCAATTCTTACCACTCAGTGCAAGTCAGCTATCTAATTAATATATTCTGAAATCCAATAAACACAAATATTTCATTATTAACCTGAAAACTATTAAATAGGAAGCAGAAGATCTCCAAGTGTTTTAGAGTAAGAAAATAAATGAACATTCTTAAGTTTTAAAATCTGATTGTTTTAAAAATAACTGAACTCATAGGTCTGATATCTACTTCCACTTGTAACTGTAATAGAAGTGCATCACTGGCAACTAAAACATAATTACACTTGAAATTACATTTCCTGATGTATATCTGCATATAATTCTTCCTTTTATTCATTCATTCATTCATCATGGTTAGGCTTCATGAATGAAGATTTGGGAAGGGCTCTACCCATGTTTGTTACAAGCACGCTTGTGGCTAAAAAGGCCAATACGAGAGAGACAAGTCCAACTGCAGAAGGCACAGCAGAAAGACTCCTTAGGTGGTAAATTCTGCAAGACACGGTTCTTTCTGTGCTGTCTTTTCTCCTCGAGAGTGATCCTGTGTGCTTTCTCAAAAGCATCAGCAGCGTTATAGATGGTGTGTCTCCAGACCTCCCGATTGGAGGCCAGAGTAGACCAGTTATGGTGATCAATATGGCCAAGGCTGAGATGTTGTTTCAGGGAGTCCTTGTATCTTTTCTTTGGGGCTCCTCTCTTGCGGCAGCCGGTGGCAAGTTCACCATAAAGCAGGATCTTAGGGAGGCGGTGGTCCTTCATCCTGGAGATGTGCCCTGCCCAGCACAGCTGTGTTCTCAGCAACATGGCCTCAATGCTTGTGACTGCTGCCTGTTCTAGAACAGATGGATTGGTCCCATCATCTGAGCAGTGGATGTTTAGGATTGTACGGAGGCAGCGTTGATGGAAGCGTTCCAGGAGTCGCAGGTGGTGGCTGTAGATGGCCCAGGATTCGGACCCATATGAGAGTAGACAGCACAATGGCTCTGTAAACACTGATCTTGGTACTTTTCTTCAGGTGTTTATTTCGCCAAACTCTTTTATGGAGTTTCCAAAAGCACTCTATGCCTTTGCTAACCTGTTGTCCATCTCTCTGTCAATCTCACCATCCGAGGAGATGAGGCTCCCTAGGTAATTAAACTGCTGGACTGATTTGAGCTCTGATTGGCCAATGGTGATATGGGGATGATGGAAGACTTCCTGAGGTGCAGGTTGATAGAGAACTTCTGTCTTCTTTAAGCTGACTTCCAGCCCAAAGAGCTCAGCAGCGTCTGCAAAGCAGGATGTTAAACGCTGCAGAGCTGCTTCTGTGTGGGCAACAAGGGCGGCGTCATCAGCATAGAGCAGCTCCCACTATTGCAGAAGGAATTCTACCTGAAAGCCAATGTGGTTTCAGAGCCAACAGGAGGACCACAGACATGGTATTTGTTCTCAGACAACTGCAAGAGAAGTGTAGGGAACAGAACAAAGGTCTCTATGTAACCTTTGTTGACCTCACCACGGCTTTCGATACTGTGAGCAGAAAAGGTCTGTGACAGATTTTGGAATGTTTGGGTTGTCCCCCCAAGTTCCTTAAAATGATCATCTCACTCCATGAGGATCAGCACGGCCAAGTCAGATATGGCAATGCACTTTCTGAGCCCTTTCTAATAACCAGTGGTGTGAAACAAGGCTGTGTTCTTGCATCAACCCTATTCACAATCTTTTCCAGCAGGATGCTCCAAAGGGCCACAGCAGACCTCGATGATCAGGATGGTATCTACATTCGATATCGTACTGATGGAAGCCTTTTCAACCTAAGGTGACTGAAGGCCCACACCAAGACCTTAAATCATATTGTCCAGGAGCTTCCTTTTATACACGCTTGCCAATTCACAAAATACAGAAACATAGTTATTAACATAAATTCTGTCACGTTTAGAGAGAGATATTAGGCAAAGTTTTCAGGATTGAGGGTAAAAATTAAATGCATCCAGCTTTCCTTCACTGCCCTCATCTTTTTATTCAATTACATCACAAACATGCATTAAAACAGTGTGACACTACTCTGCTGTGAAAGTCATCAAATCTTACAATTAGTTCTGCAAACAGGACTGATGTTACTGTCTAACTGGCAGGTCAGCCCCCATCCATTGCCTTCACACAATAAAGTTGGTACAAATTAAAATAAACCACACATTGTTTGCTTATGGTTTACAAAACTCCCTTTCAGCAAGTCACTAAAAGGCATTACCACTGATCATGAAGGGAAAAAACCACGCCACAAAGCAAAACATGTCACACAAAATTAAAAAACCATGTCTCAGGAAACCATTAATTTTTCATGGAAATCAAAGACAATTACAACTGATTGACAAACTCATCAAACATTAACATGGAGGTTGGAAGGTAATAAAAGGGCAGGAGACTTGTGCATATTCAACATACACTGAACACTCACGTAGCAGTATCATATAGCCCTGTCTGCCATCACTAATTAATGCCAGAGCACAGCACAGACGTGCTGTTCGTGCTGAAATTAATAAAGTGAGCAGTGTCTAACCCTCTTGTCATTGCAATACTGATCTGTCATTAATTTCAGATTTGTAATGCAATGTAATGCTGATGGGGAGAGGAACATCCATGCCTACAAAACTCTTGAAATCTAGAGTAAATGTTACCCTTCACAATTAATTTAATTTGACGTACTCTACAATTGCAAAATGTATCCTTCAAGGCAGCTCTCACTGAAAGGGAAATACAGCTCATCCTCCTAAGTATGTTTGTAACGTCACCACTGCAGCGATCGAAATCGAGAACACCTAAATTCATAAAAATGCTGAATATGGAAAATACAACTTATATAAAAGAGTACATCTATGGAAATAGGGTGATGGTGAAAGCTTTTACTGTCTTTCTCAAACAATGTGACTAGTAACAGTGCACACAACTTTATGTTATTCAAAACATTAGTATGGATTTTCAGCATTAATTTTATTTCAGACTACTAACTTGTTTCCTGCAAAAAATGCCTATTTATAACCTACACAACTAACCACAAAAATACAAGAGACAGGTCTAAAGAGTTCACTGTGAAAGAAAGATCTGTAGTCTAAAGATATCTTATTATACTTAGAGGCCTATTTAAAATTTGTAGTAAATTAATAATAAATTGGAATAGTACCTTTCATACATTTGGATTGGATATCTGATATGTAAAACCACTTAACAAAACAAGCTACAGGGAAAAATTCCAAGTACTCCTTATCATGAATGATTATGGAAAACTTTACATTACACTTGCTTTATCTAAAGAGTTATAAAATTTTTTTTATACTTTTCAAGACACTAACACCGATGCAATGAAATGCTAAAACTAACAGGAGGTGCAGAGGAGGCCCCTTTCCTGAGCAGGAGGGAGCTCAAAAAAGCAGTCAGCTTGAGGCAAAGTGAGAGAGCATTTAAGAAACAGAACATTTCCAAATTACAGCCATTGTTTACTTTAGCCCAGGAAGAGCCCAAGAAAAGACATATTCTAAGCAACAGGTCCAAGTCCGGAATCAGGCAAGATGTAGATAATTGTGCTCTCAGTTTTCACAGCTTTTAAGTGATAACATGCCCCTCTGTTTTTTTGGAACAGACTTGGTTTTGCCTTTAAACACAGTCCCTGTTAAAAGTGCATAGGTAACGGGAGATAATCACAGAGCACACCATTCCTCTGGGTGCACTAAATTCATATTTGAATATTGTGCACAGGCAGCCCAGTGTGATGCCACATTAGAGGTACGTTTAGGAACCCTGACAATTAAGGTGTTTTCTGGTAGGCTCAGGGTCAGTTTTAGGCTCCTGGCTGAGAAGAGCAAAGCATTGGGAAAGAATCTCTTATTGAGGTCAAAACCAAGTGAACTTCTTAAAAGAGACAAACTGTTTACAAACAACAAAATAGCACTTGTGAAGTTAAGAGAAATGCACTCTTAAGTTGATTCTGGAATTAAGATCAAACATAGGCAACTTATCTTGGTTGAATTTGAAGACAAGTGAGGTGGAAGAGGGAAAGAATCTCGAGATAATTTACTTTAAGGTATGACAGAGAGCACATGCACATTAGACAGCACGAGCTACTTAAAACTGCTTACCCAAGATTCGTGGTACAGAACCGTGAGCAGGTGCATGCCATAATCATAGTTCTGTCTTCTTAGGGGACACCTGAAAATTCAGGAACAAAGCTCGTTTTTTGGAACAAGATGTTAAAAATCACCGTCTAAGTTTCTAATTTGTAATGTAGGGAATCTTAGGGAAATGTGTGTTTAAATCACATGCATTTCTGAATTACACCCAACCAAGAATAACACCCTGGCGGTGTGAGTATTAAGAACATGGGAGAAAGGGCAACTGCAACTCAGTAGGAAAATTTACAAAATCCAAGAATTAACAAATCTTCAGGAAACATTAAAAACTTTCTTGCCGTCTGTGCCAAACTGGAACCAAGCACACATAAGTCTGAACTCCTTTAAACCCTGATTTTAACAGTTAATAACAGGAGCAGTGTTAAGTTTAAGTGCTATTTAGCCTTAAAAATATAATAATTCACCAAGAGAATAGTTGGTGTTACTGGAAGACACCCAGCCCTTTCTATACAGTGACCATTGGTACAAGCATTTTTGTTTCCTTCTGGTAACTGTACCTGTCTGTGACAATTGTGAGCACATCTGTTTCCCGGCAGTACCGCTCTCCTACAAGTTTAACAAGCTTCTTCTTTGCATGGTCATCCAAATTCAGGTTAGAAAGTTTAACCTTCAAGTACAAGAGAAAACAACTTTAACTCCTTGGATAAATCCAATCTCTGCACTTTGGAAATACCTGAGACAGTATGGCACACCTATTAAGAATTAGAAGGACAGCTCTTCAGGATGCATTTGCAGAATTTCTTCTGATTGTATCACATCAGGAGTCTTACCACAAGGCAAGAATAATGTGAATATTCAAACTATATATACATGTATAATAAACACCCACATAATGCCTAAATCTCCTGAGCTCCCTTCCAACCTCAAATATGTCATGATCCTATGCTGACAAGGCTGCTGTGCCTATTGCATACACACTGATGCCTGGAGGCCTGCCAACTCAACACTTATAAATAGTGCCACATTCATATGACCCGTCTTTCAATACCTGTGCACTTCCAGGGCCAAAAAATTAGCAATGAGAAGATCTAAGCAAGGCATGGAGAACCTTTTCTACAAGGACATCCTTCAGAGGGTACACTATTTTGCTTACATCACAGCCAACTTAAATGCATATGCATAACCTGATGACCTCAGTTCTAACATTCTGCAGAATACCTCAGGAAATCCACTGCTTTTTATTTATTCTGACTTTGAGGAAACCATTTCCCTCATTTCCTTATAGCAGATCATACTTGCACGTTTGGAAAAGAAAAACAAGTATTTAGGCTTTTGAGACAACGGCAGTTTACCAAAATTACTACTTACTCTTAAAGTCACCACTCTTGCTTTGGGATTGCGAATAGACGTCCCTGAAGAAACATAATCTACAGTTTCGGTCTCAATGGGAAAATGCTGTTCACATTTCTCATCACTGTCCAGAGCACTTGGCCATTCAGTGCAGAAATCTGTATAATAAAGAGAAAACACTACAAGTAATACCTGTTTGGTGTATTTGGTTGTTGCTTGGGGGTTTTTTTTCCAGATTTATTGTAATCTATCTTTTTACTGGGTTTAATCCTTTCTGTATACTGGGTTCTCCAAAACCCAGGATACAGTACTCCAGATGCCAAACAATCACAGAATGGTTTGGGTTGGAATTGACCCTCAAAGATTAAAGAGTCCAACCCCCTGCCATGGGCAGGAACATCTTTCACTAGATTTGGCTGCTCAAAGCTCATCCAACCTCACCTTGAACACCTTCAAGGATGGGGCATCCACAGCTTCTCTGGGCAAGCCCTTTCAGTGTCTCACCACCCTCATCACAGAAAATGCTTCCTTTGCCTCATTAGGTTCTCTTGCTGGCTGGCAGAGATTCTCTTGGTCTTCAGCAGATCCTGTATCTCCCCAGCAGACCTTGCTCTCACAGAGGGTTTCTAGTATCAATAGCTTTTTGGTCATTAAATGCAATCCAGAATGGCTACTGACTGAACTCTGGTTCAATCACAATCTTCTGAGAATTCTGTCACATTCATCACTCACCTTTCTCAAGGCACTAAACTATCAACTTGTCAGTACAAGCAGGGCCTCATTGAAAGTAAAATTTCAGTCTTTCTTGGGTGCTCTCCTAAGACACATCTGCCAACCACCCAGGTAACTCCAGGCAGCAGCAATAAAGCAGACAGTACTAGCCAAAGCCTGACAAATAACCAGCTTCACAAGTGTACCATGTCTCACCTTCTACTTGATCACACACATTTACATTCTCACCTTTAAGAGCTGCACAGTGCTTCTTAATTGCAGGAGGAGTAAGATGCAAAAAATTGGGAATCTGAAACAGACACATTAAGAGTTACCACAATAATGGCTTTTTGTCTGTTCCTAAGTAAATGGACATGACTGAAATCCGATTACACTTCTCACATTTGTTATGGTAATACAACACGCTGAATAAGATATTCAGATAAGCACTCAAGTCTGATTTAGGAACAGACTTCAGTTAGCCCTAGTACAAAAATCACAGGCATGATCACCCTAAAAAGGTCTCCAGATTTCATTCATTTGTTACTTAACTTTGTTACCATTTCATTTAGAAACTAAAGAGGATCATCCTGTTTAATAAGAGAAAACAGTCTCCAATACAAACACCCCAATCAAAGCAGTGCAACCTTAGTGAATACTAACATTACAATAACCACCCACCCATGTGATGTGTCTTACCTTAATAAGTTCTAAGTTGCCTTCTTTTGGGGGAGGTACTCCTCTCTTCACTGGGTAACCCATTCGGATTGGGAGAGGCACAGAGGCAGGTTTAAAGGCAGCTGCTGTTGGATAAACACTGCTCCAGTCCTGATCCACAGCCATCCTCTCTGTTCTGGGAGGTACAGCCTAAGCAGTGCAAAAGGATACAAGCTGGATGTGAGATACAGTTTGTAAGACAAAGCAGGATCAACACACAAATCATAAATCAGCAGGGGAAGGAAAGGGAATCAAATCAGTATGGAACTGCAAACTCTGTCTCCTAAAGGGCCTGAGCGTGTAGTTGGGGGCAAGACAATGAGTTTTAAAATACTGGAATTCTGAAAGTGTGAACCAGTTGATAATAAAAGAAACAGATTATAATTGACATTTCTTGCTACAGAAATTCCAGTACAGGAACAATGTATTAGTATATTGAAGAAATAGCTTATATTCTCCAATAACTGACCACAGTTTCAGTCAAATGCTCCTAAAAAAACCTAACTAACAAACAAGTCACTGTTTTTTTGCCCAAAAACTTTAATTTTTAATTTAGAGGGGTAGAAAGGAAATGGATATGTGCAGTCAACTGGTCTTACTGCTTTGGTGTATCATAAGATCCACTCTTAGAAGCTACACAAAAATTTAATGTATCCCAGGTCTACTTCACTATTTGCTTTTAAAGCATCATAACCTGCACTATACAACTTTTGACATGTACATGTGGATGACAACAGGAAATTTTTAGTTATTAAATGTCCAGATATCAGTTTTAAATCCACCGTGCACGTACAATTTCACTGATGCACAAGATCACACTTTTTATTTACACCAGAAAGAAACCACCACAAATCCTGTAAACTCAGATTGAAAATAACAATAAAATGTCTGGTTTTTTGAAAATGCAACTTTAAGTTACTCTTCAGACCTGCAGTACATGGTGTCAATAAAAGTTAACTATTAGCTTACTGTTATGTTTTGGCTTTATGAAGGCACATACTGAAAAGAGCTGGGACATTACAGAAAGCAGGTGCTGGCCTGGAACAGTCACAGGGTTTGACTGCAGAAGGGGCTCCTGTTATGACACACAGCTTAGAAAACTGTCTCAAACACCTGAGTTAGCTGCAAATCATTTCAGTACTTACAAACTGTGGTGTCCTGCCTCTTCTCCTTACTGAAGCTGAAAGAAAAAAAAAACAGAGCCATTTAAAATACAAATTTTTATAGTTTTTTTTGAGGGGGCAATGCAACCTAGTCTTCTATACTTTTTTTTGCGCTTGTCTTTGTACCAGTGTTCATTAATACTCCCCAATCTTTACATGGAAGAAGGGGAAGATCAAGTACTCAGACTGCAGATTGCTCATTTATTTTTTGAAACGTTAGATAAAAAAGAACTTCAAGAAAATGAGTGAGAGTAAACTTTCACCTTCATCCCTGTGCTCCCTCTTTCCCACATGGCTGTGCAGTCACAAATCACCCTCCCACAGCAGCACAAGATGGATAAACCTAAGAGTTACTATTTCCAAAAGGAGAATCACATGGCTCCATCCCTTCCTTCTGACTTTACACCCTCTTCTGTGCCACTCTGCAGCTCAATTAACCTCTGTATGAACAGTTTGCACATTGGATTGTTTCTCTTCTTGAGCTGGGGATGGGGATCATGTCAATCCAGTTTAATGAGCAATTGTGTAAGAGTTTAACTCCTTTCAGGCCTGAGCCACCCTCTGACTCTACTTTATAGCCAGATATTACTTGGAGCTGTGGTGAAAGACTCCCAGGGATGCATGAAGATACCAAATACCACTGGATTGTCAAACTAAACAGAGATCTTGCTTCCCTCCATTTCTGCCCCCTCCTGAACCTCTAAAACACTTCAAACTCCGCTCTCCAAAAAACGACACTGGACAATGTAGCCTCAGACAAATGAAGGTGAAGCCGATGCCATTTACTTTCAAGTGACTGGTTTGAGCTCTTGGGTTTTATTTCTTTGTATATATTTAGCAAAAAAAAAAAAAAAAAAGGGATTTAGGAGTGGACGTTTGGGTTTTCCCCTCATTAATGTCTTACAACCCTACCTCTCAAAACCTGGCGAACTTTACAGTTCTTTAGTTTTCCTTACCCGAGTACTTTATGTACCCAATTCTGCTCATCCTCTTCTTGCTATATAAAAAATTTAAACTGAAAGATACATCCGGGGGTTCTACAACAGCTCACGCACAGCATTACTTTATCGCCTGACCTGCCTTCCTCGCGGCGCTTTCGCACGCAGCCACACTTCGCACCGCACTGGTTCTGTTACAAACGCCCATAATTTCAGGCCAGGACCCCTTTAACACTTAAAGGATCTTTCAGAGACCAGGCCTGGTCTCACGGGAGCACATGGCAGACCATGAAATTCCCTCTGGGAATAACCGACACCAGGCACCGCTCCGCCGCAGCCCCGGCACTCAGCGCTCGCTCCCGCCCTGCCGGCGGAGGAGCAACGCGGCCCCCGCGCCCCCCGCGCTCACCTTCCCGCTGCTGCGGCCCTTCCTTGCCGCTCACCGCGGGCGCCGAGGAATAAGCGGCGCGGCCCCAGCGAGGGCGCGGCTGGGAGCCTCCCGCCGGGCCCCGCACCACAGCCCGGCCCGGCAGCACAGCCAGCCCGCGCCGCCATGGCGGCCTCCGCGCAGCCCCGCCCGGCCCGACGGCGGCCGGCGCGGGCCCGGGGCCGGCAAGCTCCGCCCTCACGGAGCGGGGCGGGACGGGACCCGGCGGGACTCGCTGTGCCCGCGGGGAGGAGCCTCGTGCTCCGCCATTGCGGGGGGACGGGGAATACCATGGATCGGGGGGACTCCTGGACCTGCTCAGGAGACCCCAGAAATCCCACCATGTGCCTGAGAGCGTTGTCCAAACACTCCTTGAGCTCTGTCAGGCGGGATGCTGCGACCGCTGCCTTGGGGAGCTTGTTCGGTGCCCAACCATCCTCTGGGGGGAGAACCTTTTGCTAATATGTAACTTAAACCTCCCCGTCACAGCTCCAGCCGTTCCCTCGGGTCCTGTCACAGGGAGCAGAGATCGGTGCCTGTCCCTCCTGAGGAAGGTGCAGGCGGCCGCGAGGGCTCCCCTCAGTCTCCAAGTTTTTGGGGGGGATTTTTTTTTTTCCCCCCACGCACACCTGAAGGGAGGAGGACTGGTGAAAACAGCCATGAAATACAGTTCAGAACAGGAGATCTAGACAACCTCTTAAGAAGAAGAGTTTAAGTCAGCGTAGCTGTAAATTGAAATAGCGTCACTGGTAAAATTTGTTGGGATAAGGCACAGACCTGCAAATAAAAGTGTATTTCTGAAAATAGTAATCAAAAGCACCTGCTGAGAGTTTGATGACATTAAAATCTCCCTCACTGCTCTTTAACCAGAACCTCCTGTCTTTTTCACATTCACTTCTTCCCATAGGATCCTTCACCTCCCCTTTTTTGTTGCAGGGCAAATTGAATCATGCTGGACTACATCTGAAACATGCTAAAAACCTCATCTGAATAACTATAGACTGTACAGCAAATAAGTTGCAAAAAGGACTCAAGTTTTTGACTCATATTTCTTTCATACTGAAAAAACCTCAGATTAAAAATAATCTAAATAGCAACCTGGAAAGTCCTGTATTAAAAAAATGGATACTGCTCAGAGCCTTGTCTTTGGAACTCAATAAAAATGAAGTGAAATATCATCAGGCATGTTAAGAGTTTGTCTGGAACATAGCATGAGACCACTTACACATGCTCTAGAGGGAAAGCTGCTTTCAGCTATCCTAATGTTTTAGCCACAAAATAAGTCTTGATAGGGAAACAAAACTCTTGGTAGCACAAATGGTCCCAGTAAACTACAAAGATTTCCAAGTCTAGTCGAAAAACACATGCACAATTTTATCCATTTTGTTTTTTTATAATGTAAAATAAACTAGTATATCTTCCAGAAGGACAGGAAAGGTAAGAGGGGGAAAAGTATTCTAGGAAAAATATGCAAGCAGAAAAGACTGCAATGATTTGTTTATATCTAGGAAATCAAAACACTGCCAGATATCATGTGGAATTGGAGCAAGGAAAATTGAATGACTGAATTTCCTTACTGGAAAATTGACTTCCTGCTCCATTTGTTTCTCCCTCCTGCTTTTGAACTGGACTTTTTAGTGATAAACTATTAATTGAATTTTCTTCTCCATTGCACCACAGCCAATTCAGAGTCCAACATCTTGTCTTGATGGCCACAGTTCATAGGAGACATTTATATCTAGTAATATTCTACATGGTTTAGAGAGCAAGAATTTCACATACACTCACCCCCTGCTGTTATAAACTCACCTTATAAAATGTTCAAAGTTGCCTTGATTAGATGTCCTACAGATGTTATGAGCATGTGGTGTCGTGGTATTTTAACTTCTGCACTAACACAGTAAGAACACAACTATCACTGACCTCACTGCTGCTGCTGCTCTGAAGATTGGCTCAAATCTCATCTCAAAAGGCATATTCAAAGTCCACAGCACAAACCTAGCTTAACTATAGGAGGACAGGCAAGATTGTTGAACAGGTTGTTCAAAAATCTTGAGCCCTGAAGGGTTTCAAGACCCTGATCTGGTCTCACACCTTCCTTGCTTTAAGCAGCAGGACAGGCTGGAAATCTCCTGACCTCCCTTCCAACCTCAAATACTTCATGATTCTATGCTGAGAAGGCTACTGTTTCTATTGTGTACACACTGATGCCTGGAGGCCTCCCAACTCAATATAAAACAGTGATTTCAGGAATCAATTCTCAAGACACCTTTATGGCAAAAGTTAGTGCTGATTTGTAAAGGAATTTTTTTAAGAGAGCCTCTTTAATCTTTCCTACCAGGCCTTCCCCAGTCTTCTGTTGCATTTGATTTTAGAAATGCTTTGAAAGAAGAACTTGCCATCTTCTTGCCTTGGGCTAAATCAGCAGGGGGAGGAAGGGGAATCAAACCACAAACTCTATTTCCTAAAGGATATGAGCTTGTGGGGTAGAGAGCAAGACAATTAATTTTAAAATTCTGGAGTTCTGCGAGTGTGAACCAGTTCATAAAACCCATGTTACTTAGGATTGGATGGAAGCAGGGTTTGGCTGCTAGTATCCTTATCCATGAAGATTTTATTATTGTGGAAAAGGTGACTCCCCAAAGGTGATTGTCCCTTCCCAGAGCTGGCCAAGGCCAGTCCTGTCCAATATCCTTATCAACCACCACGGCTGAGGGCACTGAGTGCCTCCTCAGGCAATTTGCAGAGTTGACACTAGTTTGTGGAGGTGTTGTTGATCTGCTGGAGGGTAGGAAGGCTCTGCAGAGGGACCTGGACAGGCTGCCTAGATGGTCCAAGGCCAATGGGATGAGGTTCAACAAGGCCAAGTGCCGGATCCTGTGCTTGGGTCAGAAGGATTCTGAGAGTGTAGAACTCTTTGTGACTTAACTGCGGGCAGGGGTTCCGTGTTGTCTGTTGGTGTCAGCTGCTCCTGGCATTCCTTCAGTTGTCCTCTGGCTCACCTACAGACCTGCAGAACCTTAAGGCAGGTTCTGCTCAACAGGGTGACCTGTGAAGGGTCAGACTTGCTGCTGCCTGGGCAGACGGTCCCTGACCAAGGTAAGGACATTCCCCCTCCCCCTGGCTTTTCTCCAGAGCACAGAGATCCCCAACAGCTGGTTGCAGTCACATCTATTTACAGTTCTGACAAAACAAGCAGAGGCTCCACTGTTGAAACTCAAAAGGGTCCTCTGTCCCTTCTCCAACCTCCCATCTCAGCTGCCCGAGGACACTGACTTCCTCTCAGAGTATTCACTGTGAATCAAAACACTGCTGTTGATCAAAAGGTCTTCTGCAGGTTTTGGAGGGAGGTTGTTGTACGTTGTCATGCCATGTCCTTCTAAGGGCCACAGAGAGAATTGCCACCCTTTACAGGGCAGGGACCTAGCAAGGCAGGTACCTAATGAGGCAGGTGCCTGTGAAGACAGCATTGCTGTTCAGAACTCTTTAAGGTACACAATGTCCAGCTCCTGAAGAAAAGTTCCTCCCTGGGGAAGGGCTGCAGGGAATTCACGGTGAGGAGTGACCTCCCAGCTTGGTGCCAACCCTTCCTTCTGCTTGGATGTTCTTTCCTTTGCCTTCCAATTCAGACCTCGCCTCCCTTCCAAAATTATGGCCGGGAACAAACAGATTTGGGAACATTAGGGATATTAACACCCATGTTACTAATGATCAGATGGGAGCATAGTTTGTCTGCTAGTACCCTTATCAATAAAGATGATGTTATTGTGGAAAAGGTGACTTCCCATTCCACCTCTTGGTGGAAAGAAACACCTCATTTGCCTGCCTCCTTGACCAACATAGATCAAGTCAAGGGTGCAGGGACCCTTTTGGTCTGCTTTTTTGGCAATTCCATGGACACTGAAGTACAACTCATTTCTGGGATCAGTGGGATATATTCCACTCATTCTGTTTGCAGCTCACCAGCACTGGTGAAATGACACCTTGGTCTCCAGCTGTGAAAGGGACATTCACCTTTCTCAGAACAGAAATGCTGGTCTGAAATACTCAGGGCATTCCTAAAAACCTGCATAAAACTTATTGCCTTTTGCTATGCCAGGTAGTGTCAATCACCGTGTATTTCTGACTCTTTTCTCTGAAATCTACTACTCTAGGGAGTATGGAGACTACTGAGAGTTATCTTTTATTGGTTCAGGTGGACTTTTCACACAGAGCTGTTCAAGAGAATGTGTTCTCTCTTTCTGCAGCCTGAGCAAAAGACATGGCTGAGTTTGCCCAAAGCATGGATAACAGCAGCAATCCTTTCCTTCTCCCTACCTTACTGCTCCTGCTGCAGAACATGAGCAACCTCGAAACCTCCATCCCTCCTGCTGGCTATGAGATGACAGAATCGTCACCCACAAGACCCGGCTCAAGCAGGAACCACACTCTCTTAGACTACGGACTGAGGCCGGGGGAAATTGCAGCAGCCAGCATGGTTTGGGGAGTGTTGTGGCTGGTTTCCATCTTGGGAAACTCCCTCCTTTGCTTAGTGATGCCCAGGAGCAGGAAGACACAATCCCCCAACTATTTTGTGGTCTCCATGGCTTGTGCAGACCTGCTCACCAGTGTTGTGAGTGCACCCTTCCTGCTGCTCCAGTTGACCTACGGCAGGTGGATGCTGGGGAACGGGATGTGCAAGCTGGTGAGGTACATACAGTACCTCACCCCAGCAGTCCAGATCTACGTGCTCTTCTCCATAGGTGTGGCTCGATGCTACACTCTCATCTGTCCCCTGAACTTCAAAATGTCCAAGGAGAAAGCCAAGAAAATGATTCTGGCCTCTTGGCTCTGTGGTGCTCTGTTTGCATCACCAGCTTATTTTCTCTACGACTCTGACAGCGACCACCACTGCAACTTTTTTCTACCCGATTCTCGGCAGGGAATCGACTCCAGTATTGTCCACCTCCCAGTGCTGTTGTTTTTGATCCCTGCCCTCTTCATTATCCTCTGCTACGAGAAACTCTTCACCTACATTTGGAGAAAAGACACTGAAGACATGGCTGGCAGGAGGACAACGAATTTGATCTCAAGAAGAAAAGTGAAAAATGTCAAGATGTTCTTCATCTTTAACTTAGTTTTCCTCCTGTCGTGGCTCCCTTTCTACATGGTACAGCTGTGGCACCCACAGGAAACAGACTACAGAAAGAGCTCCTTGGTTTTCCTGGCTACCACCTGGATTTCTTTCAGTTCTTCAGCCTCTAAGCCAATCCTCTTCTACATCTATAATGCAAACTTCAGAAGAGGGATGAAAGAGACTTGTTGCATGTTTGCCAGGAAATACCAGAGAAGCAACATCTTCACCATTACCACCAGTTATGGAACAATCAGAAAGAATCACGTTTGGATCACAGATATCCCAGCACCAGCCCAAACTGTCACCAAAGACTCCACCTCTGATGCTTTTAATGGAGAAGTCAAGAAGGATGAGCTCGCCAGGCCTGATGAGTCCAATCCCCCAGATACATTTGCCAAGGGGGCTTCATTGCTTTGAAAAGCAATGTATGTGCTATGGTGGTGCTATATACCCTCCAGGAGAGGGAGGATCTTTCACCCTTTGAAGCAATGTATAGTTACATATTTTAGCACACCTTTTAGAGTAGAAAAAATATGATCTATTTTATTAAATGCCTTGGGTTTGATGCATTCGTTCTATTTCATTTCAGTTATCCTGTTCTGCTTTGGAGAACTCCTCTCCTGGAATCATGAGCAATGTTTTTCTACAAAACAAGAATCCTTATACTACTATCTGTAGAGAAAAAAAAGAAAGAAAACCATTGCTTTTTTTAAACCCCGTGTGGGATGGGCCATGGTGCATAACTACCTAAATCCACCCAAATCTACAGTTCCTTCTGTTATATCCCTGGTAATACTGTTGCACTGGGCTTGTCCTTCTTGTTCAGACCCCACTGGTTTGGTGGACAAGGTGGTGTTGGATTAGTGTTTTGACTGGATGATCTGAAGAGTCTTTCCAACCTAAATGATTCTAGGATTCTATCACCTCACTGCCCTCTTGTGCCTCCATTTCTGTTTGGGAATAATCGCTTCCTGGAACAGTCCCAGCAGATTGTTTCATCAGTTCATCAGAACTGCAGAAGGGGTTCCTGGACAAACTCTAACAATGTGAAATTTGGGAAGCTTTACACTTCCTCACACATTGCCCACCTTGTGCTTTGCTGTCCCAGAGTCTGTCCCTGTGTGTGGGCTGGGAGAGTGCATGGAGTCATGGAATATTCTGAGCTGAAAGGAACCCCTGGCCCTGCACAGTACAGCCCCAAGAATCCCACCATGTGCCTGAGAGTGTTGTCCAAATGCTCCTTGAGCTCTGTTTGGTGACATGACCACTTCCCTGGGGAGCCTGTTCCAGTGCCCAGCCACCCTCTGGGGAAAGAACTTTTTCATAATATCCAACCTAAACCTCCCCTGACACAGCTCCAGCCATTCCCTCAGTTCCTGTCACTGGTCACCACAAAGCAGAGATCGGTGCTGCTCCTCTGCTTCCCCTCCTGAGGAGGCTGCAGACCCTGATGAGGGCTCCCCACAGTCTCCTCCAACTCAGTTTCTTCCTCTCACAAGTAAAAATAGAACAACTGCACGCTCTTTGTCTCCCCAAAACAGGGACAGGCTCTTTCAGCAACCTCTGTAAGCAAAGCTCCATGGATTGCTTCAGGAAAATGCAAATATATTCAGCCCTGTGACATGGAAACAATATGGTGATGCTATCACGTGTAAATCTGGACTAGGGAGGGCTGCTTTTCTTAAATTTCAGCTTTTTTTTCCTTAAATTTCAGCTTTTTTTCTGCACCTCGGGACATGTTAGGTGCAGATGTTAATTGGGGTTTTTTTGTAGCAATATATATGTGTCCCTGGCCATGCTCAAAGAGTTCTGGTTTTAATCTGTTTGTTTCAAATTACAACAGAATTGCAATGCGTTTTA